AGAGTGTATTGGCCATTGACTTCACCTCAGTGTAATAACTTCCTCTGCTTCTTCATTAATTACTCAAATGTGCTTGTACAAGCTGTTAGCAGTTTCAACCACTGATGCTACTTGGTACCCTGCTACAGAGGAACCCCTGGCCACCTATCCAGTGAACCCAAAAGTTGAACTCATTTGTTGGAGTATTTATGCTCTGAGCACCATTAACACTGATTTTTAGGAGAATCTCACAAAAGTCACAGAATAGCAGGGCCACCAAGAGCAGGCTGACCAGAACCATGTCCAAACAGTTTTTGAATGTGTCAAAGGATGGAGACTTCACAACCTCTCTGGGCAACCTGTGCTGGTGTTTGGCCACTCTCAGACTGAAAAAGTGTTTCCTGATGTCGAGCAAACCTCCTGTATTTCAGTTTGTGCCCATTGCCTCTTGTTCTGTCACTGGGCATTACTGAAGAAAAGCCTGGCTCTGTCCACTATCAACTTTCCCTTCAGGTATTTACAGACATTGATGAAATCCCCCTGATCCCTCTCTTCTCCAGGCTGAAGAGTTTGAGCTCTCTTAGCATTTTCTTGTGGGAGAAATGACCCCGGTCACTTCATCATCTCCCCCAGTTTTCTCCTGCAAACTATGTGATCTGGCTTTCTACATTTTCTAGATAATTCTGCCTCTTATTATAGGAATCTTGCAGTCTGTGTTTCTCCTGTGAAATTTGCTTTCCTTCTTTTTAGTTTAAGGTCTCTTTACTTATCTCTGTACCATGTACGAGGACAAAAACGCAGTAAGGAAAACTCTTCAAGTATCAAGAAATACATGTAGGTCTTACTTAAAATGTTTTATAAATAGCAGCAAAAAATGTATTAAAATAACATTAAAACCTACCAACAAAAAATCTTATCAACAAGACTTTAATGTGCCAATGACTATGAAGATAAGTATCTCAAGAAATGTTTTTATATACTATTTAATTGATTCTGTCTAATTATCACCAAATTACATGCTTGTGCTTAGATCTATTAGGCTATTACTTAGCCACAGTGGAGAGGGATTTATTCTGAACAATTATGCTTAAAAAGGTGAAGAAAGCCATGTGCCAGTACTCAAAAGGTTCCTGAGCACTAAAAATGAAAACAATGACCAGTGGGATTTTCAAAAATAGGAAATTACATTTTATGTATCACATAGTATTTGAAAATTAACTCTCCATCAAATATCACATCATACGTCACCAATAATATCACTCCACGTTTATTGACGCTCAGATTGTATTTATTTATTTTTTTTTTTTTTCCCCCACTGGTATTCTAACATTCCCTGCTTCAAGATGTTTTACTCCTCTAAATTTTGTCTTTTCAACATAAAACAGTCAGTGAACCAAAAGAACTGGAGCCTATGCACTCATATTTGCTTGTACCACATTGGAGAGTATAATAGCAAGCCTTTCACTACGTGCCTATTAACCCTTGTATTATAAGAGAAATAAGGCTTTTTAAATCGATAGGCTCGTGCAGAAGACGAAGCAGAAAAAGAACCTGCCCTTCGCTCTCCAAAGGCACCCACTGCTGCCACCTACAGACGAAACAGACTCACAGCGCCTGCCTAACAGAAAATTGGTTAATTTGCTACAAAACATGAACAGTAGTAATGAGTATTCCCCGGGGAACAATTCTACAGTTCCCCAGACAACTTTTAATTTAGGAGAAAAAAAGTCTTGTGATGTTAAAAATAACTGGCACCTTACTGCTTCTGAGTTATCGATGACATGTAAAACTTCCGGTAAATAATTTCAGAAATTTTTAAACTTTCACAATTTTCTCAGAAATAGGAAACCACGGAAATGCACAACTTGCCTTTTCTTAGGTAGTACCTTCTTCTAGCAACACAGCAACTAAACGTTACTTAAGGATTGAAAATGTGATGAATGTACAACCAAATAGGTATACACATATGCTACAAAATCAGCATAATCAGCGAATCACAGAATTGTTCTGGTTGGAAAATACTTCTCAGATCATCGAGCCAAACCATAACCTAATTATGTCAACCATTAACCTAACTCTGCTGAGGACAGTGCTTAAACTATGTCCCTAAGCACCACATCTGTATGTCGCTTAAGCACCTCCAGGGATGGTGATTCAACAGTCTCCCTGGGCAGCATATTCCAGTGTTTAATTACATTTGCCATGAAGAAATTTCTTCTAATATCTAATCTAAACCTCCCTTGGTACAACCGATGCCATTTCCTCTTGTTCTATCTCTTGTTACAAGAGAGAAGAGACCAACCCCCACCTCACTACAGCCTCCGTCCAGGTAGTTATAGAGAGCGGTAATTCTCCCCTCAGCCTCCTTTTCTCCAGACTAAACCCCAGTTCCCTCAGCTGCTCCTCATAAGACTTCTTCTCCAGACCCTTCACCAGCTTCATTGTCCTTCTCTGCACTCCAGCATCTCAATGTCTTTCTTGTAGTGAGGGCCCAAAATTGAACACCGTATTCATGGTGCAGCCTCACCAGTGCTGAGTACAAGGGAATAATCACTTCTCTACTCCTGCTGGCCACACTATTTCTGATACAGGTATCTCATTATTATAGAAATTCAAATCTAGTCACAGTTTCTTTTAAAACAATATACAGGAAAATTACATGAGAAAAGACTGGAATGTTGTGTATAGTGGTGTCCTCCTTACTTCAGCAGCATACCTGCAAATAATAAGGCTTCTTTCCTTTTTCTTCCATCTTCCCTGTTGTCTGTAGTTCATGCTTTGATTAGATTGGAAATAAAAAATAAACGTAATGGTTTTATATATCAAATAAGTAACACTTTGATTTATGAGATAAATCAAAGAAATCGGCTTGAAGGCCTAAATCTAGGGATGGCCAGTGTCTATACTGTGGTACAGCTCCTGTGTGTGGCTTTTGTGATGCCTTGCAGTTAACAATGGCAATTGAAGTCCATGCCCAAGTTTAATTGCTGCATAATACAAGCCTGCACAATGTGCTGCTAGAAAGCCTCTAGAGAGTCACAAAGCAAACTATTTGGCTGAGTGGGTAACTGCAAGGTAGTGCCTCCTGTTTGTGTAGCTGGAGACTTAGCTGGCACTTCAAGTGTACTGACTGCAGCTAAATTAGCACTGATGAAACAGCCCAGAGCCAAGGATGCTGTTGGTCCCCAGATAGTGAAGATGCAGCACAAATTTCTGTTGAAGTCACAAGGTTTTGTTTTTCATTTCCGTGCTGTATTCCGAGTTGTTTGTACCTACAAAGTCTCTTGGAAGTTTGCCTCTCAAGATCATGTTTGGGGATTTCTGTCCCTTCAGAAGACAGTGGGAGTCTGTTCTGTTTGCCCATGGAAATCTGAGAAATAGCCCTAGATCACAAATAAGGCTTGCTACTTTATTTTCATGCAATAAAAAACATGTTAGCAAAAATATGCTACCACCAAACACTTTTGTGCTATGTATTGCCATTATCATCTTATAAATGTACATTTATTTGTTACAGGTAATATATATAATCTTAAATCGGTTTAAAACAATCAGATATTTGAAATTCTAATATTGGTAAAATTGCCCACAGTAATATTACCTGCTTTAATTTCAGGTTAAATGATTTTTATTCCTCATTTGTAACTACTCTGAGGAAAGAAGTCTGCTCTAATTTCTCTAACAATGCCAGCTGAACGCAATTAATCGGGGATTTCAGAGAAGATACTGCAAAGACAAACAGGTGAATTTCAGCACCCTGCAGACTTCAGAATGAATGCTGCTTGCACATACAGTACTACTACTTGGGTGACAGCGAGAAAATGTCACAGGATCACAGAATGGCTGAGGTTGGAAGAGACCTCTGGAGATTATCTGGTCCAATCACCAAGCATGGCCACATAGAACAAGCTGTCCAGAACCACATCCCGATGGCTTTTCAGTACCTCCAAGGATTAGACTCCACAGCCTCCCTGGGACACCTGTGCCGGTGCCCGGTCACCCTTACACTGAAGAAGTGTTTCCTGATGTTCAGAGGGAACCTCCTCGGTTTTGGTGCGTGCCCACTGCTTTGGTTTTGTCACTGGGCCCCATGACAGGACCAGTCGCAATGTCCCTGTGAAAGGGCCTGGCTCCATCTTCTGTGCATCCTCCCTTCAGGTAACAGGACGAGATCCCCCTGAGCCTTCTCTCCACAGGGCTGGACAGTCCCAGCTCCCCCACAGGAGAAATTCCTCCAGTCCCTTCACTGCTTTAGTGGCCCTTCACCAGACACTTCCCAGCAGCTCCCCAATTTTCTTTAAAATCACGACTCCTGGAGAGCTCTGTACACCACACAAGAACACAGACAGCTCCTACACACGCCCACCTAGGGCACGTCCTCAGAACCGCACCAACCCCACGAACAAACACACCGCCTTCCCGCCG